CGCTGACACCAACTGCAGAAATAAGAACCGAGCGCAGCGCCCGCTTCGCCCCCCCCCTTCCCCCCCCCCCGGGCCCCGCACCGCCCCGCACCGCCGCTTCTCTCCCGGAGCAGCGGCACGAGTTGCGCGCTCCGAAGTTGGAGGTTTCATTTTCAGTCTGCGCGGCTCCGGCCGTACCGAGGGCTGCGGGTCACCGCCGCTCTCTGAGCTGCGTCCTTCCCGTGCCGCGTTCCAAGCGGGTGCTTTACCTGCCGTGCCGTGCCGTTCGGGCCGGGCTCTCGCCGAGCCAAACTTTCGAGTCTGTCATCGAAGAAACTTGCCGCTCGTGCTGCTCTCTGTGATTTGCTTTAATTTAGGCGGAGGGAAGCGGGCGCTGCGCTCGGTTCTTATTTCTGCAGTTGGTGTCAGCGCTGAGCAGCCCGTGCTCGTGTAAGTTGGAGAGATCCCGAAAGCACCGAAGCAGGGAAGGAGGTGCTGTGCGTCTTTGCGACCAAATCTGGGGGAAAAGGGGGAAATCAGGGCTACCGGCTTCATTCCTCCGCTCCGAATCCCTTCCCTGCACTGTCTCCCCACCGGAGTGAATGGAGCGGGGCACTGGGGGAGGAAGCTCCTCACTAGTCACCATTCAAAAGGTGCCGGCTAAAATCTCATTGCAAAAAGGTATGGTAGCTTTAACGTCTCGCATTGGCAGCATTCTTCCCCCTTAGTCTCTGGATTAGTCATTGTGTGTGAGACAGAAAGAAAAAGAAAATCACTTTTTTTTTTTTTTTTTTTTTTTAAAAAAAGTAAAGTAAACAGCCTCCAACAAGTGAACCTTGACAACCCAGATTAAGGCAGGCAGGAAAGATCAAACGGAGCTGCTGCTGGGCTGTTGTCAGAGCCGCCTGGCTGGGAGCGCCGGGTGCTGCAGCAGGGCACAGCCGGGCCGTTAGCAGTGCTGCTCTTTGTTGGGAATCCATAGGGTAACGTGGAGGGAAATAACGCTGCCCTTCCCCGCAAGGCTGTCTGCTGCTCACGGCTTTGGTTGTGAAGTTAGGTCGGTGCACGGGAAGGGCTGGTTTTATTATTATTAAATTATTTTAATTTTTTTTTTTTGAGGCTTCCGTACACTTGGAGAGTGATGGAGGATTTGGTTCGGTTTGATTTCTGCCGCCTGGAGCTGTGGAGAAGGCGGCGTTTCCAGTAACGCAGTGTTCAAAACAGCCTAAAAGTTCTGTGGAATTCAACCCTGATTTCTGCATCTCTGATTTGTAAGGAAACCCGGGCGTGTTTTTCTCGGCGTGTGAGCGGTTCTGGTGTGTGACAGAGGGGTTGGGTGGCGATGAGGCGTTGCACGCTGCGTGGCTGCAGCCCTGAGCGGTGGAAGGTGCAGCGCTTTTCCCGGAGCATTGCCCGGTGGCACATTTTGCAGTAGCTGTGTGCTGTGCTTGGTGCAGGGCGAGGTGTCACCTGGTGTCGGGGCTGCATCAGAAAGGTTCCATTGCTCTCTCGTTTTTTTTAGTGAAATTTGTAGCCAGGGGTGTGAGGTGATCGCTGGTTTTGCTTCGATAAATGCTTTGGTGTGAGCGTTAATTGGATGTCAGCAGTGCAGTTCGGAGTTGTTTTTGATGCTTTCGTGTTTGCGTTCAGACAGCTCAGTGCAAACTCCACCTGTTTTGTTCCTGTTCTAAGTACTTCTGTTCTAAGTATCCTGAAACAATGGGGACAGCCACTGCAAGCGGGAGAAGGCTTTACCCCAGTGTGTGTGAGCAGGGCAGAGAGCAGAGCAGACCAAGCGCGCATCCACTGAAGAATGAAGAAACCCAAAACCTTTCCCCAGAAGTACTTCTTTAATTAGCAGTGCAGATCACACAATAAGTACTTTATGCTTTTATAAGGTAAGATTTCACAACCATCCTGCGTAACTTACAGAGCCGGTACTTTTTTATGGCGTATACTTTAATTAGACAGTAAAACGTGCGTGTGTTAAACATGCACACGTATGCTGTGAAGCCGTTTGGGGTAACGCAGTGTTTTTTGCATGAACATTTCATGCCGCAGTCGGTGGCAAGGTGCTGCTTTGGGAGCAGGCAGGACGCTGGGCAGAGTGCTGAGCGTGAGGCATCGCTGCATGGCACGGGCTGCAGCGCTGCTCCGTAGCAAAGGACCACCTTCTCTTAAGGGCTAACCTTTGTGTTCCCATCCACGATGCGCTTAGCTCCGGGATTATTCCTGTTTCACGGTATTGTAAAAAAATTAGGGGAAAAGGGGTGGTAGTGGAAGGGTGGGTTATGGCGTGGGGCTCGGCATTCAGTGTTCTTAGTGCTTGTGGTCATGGACAGAGAGGGCTGGACCGGGTCGTGTGATTCCTTTGCAAAGGTATCTTTCCAGCGTGTATTTGTCTATGGAATGAAATAACGTATGCACACACATATGTAGGAGATGCATGTAAAATACAGTTATTTCTGCAAGGCCATCCGGTTATTTATAGGACATAATGATACTTCTGTCATCTTAAATTTTCTCAGAGAAGCTTTAATAAATTTTAATAGATTATATGCTGTCAGGAAATAGTATAAATTTTGTTTACGATTCACTTGCTTTAAGGTACTTATACTAAAGAAGCTCATTTAACCCTCAGACTGAGCAGCATTAAGTGGTGAGAGGAGTCTGCCGGAGAGCTGCCGCTGCCCTTTGCTCTCGTGATAATCTTAAATTACAACAATTTAATTGCAACTTCAAGGCACCGAGCGGAGACGTTTCCTGCGGCTGAGGCAGGGCTGGGGGAGAGGCAGCAGAACGGGGCTCCTTGTGGTCAGGATTGCTCGTGGCTGGGATCCCTTGTAGTTGGGCTCCTCGCTGCTGTGCTCAGGCCTTCTGCCCCGCCAGCAGTGACACAGCGGGAGTCCCCAGGTGGGGGCAGGATTGGGACTGCAGCCTGGCACAGCTCTGGGTGCAAAGTTGTGCCTGAGTTGGGTTACGCTGTAGCAGGGGTTCATTGGTGGGTAGCTGCAGAGCCTGGGGGCACATTGGGTTCTGCAGCCCCAAGACCTGCTGTCGGGGGCTGTGTCCCAGCTCAGCTTGCCACAAGTCCCCCCGGCCCCGATATGTCCTCACACCCATGAGTGCTGCGGCGGGGGCACTGGGAGCCAGGCAGCATGTGCCAAAGGCGGTTGAGAAACGCTGCGTGCTGGAGCTCAGCAGCTTGTCTGCGGCTGTTCGCAAAGGTCCTGGCAGCAGAACTTTACCAAATGCTCACAAGGGCACAGAGGGGCTCACCGTTCTTGACTTTCTTGCCTTTGGAGACATACGTAGGTGCTTGGCTGTGCTCTGAGTCATGATCCATACCGCGTTCCTCTTTGCCATGTCCTCACCAGGTGGCTCCTTGCGGCCCTCGTGCCCGCCGGCGCTGCTCTCAGCTCGCCCAGCACAGCCCTGTGGTCCCGCTGCAGCCAGTGTCAGGTGCTGCCACGGTGTGCATGGGAGAGAGGGAGCTGGGGTTGTTAGGGGAGCCAAACTGGGGGAGCTCTGTAATCCTCTAATATGAAGAAAAGCCGTGTCTGGGGTTGAAAGGGAACTGTAAGCTGTTCTGTCTTTAGGAGCTTGGGCATCTGCTGAGCAGGGTGCTTCAACTTGTGCTCGTTTCTGACTTCAGCGTGCGACCTACTCAGAGTCAGGGCAGTGCTGGCTCTGCTGCAGCAAACGCGCTCGGGGGTTCTCTTTCTCATCACCTGGCACCTGTCTCTTCCATCCATATGTGCAGTGGCCATGCGTGAGTGGTAATGATCTCATGTAACCCCGATAACTTTTTGTTCAGCACCATCCTGAAAATGAAGATGTTGTTCTATGGCAAATGAGAAAACAGAAGAGCAGAATGCATTTTTTTCCCCTCTCGGGTACCTGAGGAGGACTGAATCATTTTTCTCCTCTCACTGACCCTCCCTGTACTGTTCTTAGAGCATCCCCATTTTAGTGCCTTGAAATTGCAATTAAGTTGTAGTAATTTAAGATTATTGTGAGAGTGCAAAGGGCAGTGGAAGCTCTTTGGGAGTCTCATCTCAACACGTAATGACGCTCAGTCAGGGGGTTAAATGAGTTTCCTCAACGTCAGTACTTAAAGTAACTAAATCGTAAACAAAATTTATACTATATTCTGACAACTAATAATCTATTTAAATTACATTAAAGTATGTGTGTGAAGATTTAATTAAAAACAGAAGTACAGTTGAGCCCTGTAAATATCTTGACAGATACACTGGAGTGGAGTTCGTATCATCCAATATTTGCTTGTGTCTGACAGGTTGTGGAGCTTCTGGGGGTAAAACTAACTGTGGGCTTTGTCCCTTCCAGTTTGCAGTGGGGTTGCAATGGTCTCACAAGCGCTCTGGGTGCCAGCATGTGTTATTTGGTTGCGTTATTTGCTCTGTTAGCACCGCAGTGCCTGTTTCCTTCAGCTCAGGGCTGGTGCCTGGCTGTGTGCTCTTGAGGACGCTCTCTGCTGCTGTTGAGCAGTGTCTCCCAGCTCAGTGTGCCAGCTTTCTCCCCTCTTCCTGGCTGCAATTGAAGCAACCCGGAGTGCAGTGCTGAGGGCTCTATTGCACTGCTGTGAGCCTTGATTTAGCTGATTATTTTATTTTATTTTTTTTCAGATAGAAAGTGTTTAGGACGTTTCCCCAATTTTTTTTGCAATGCATGGAAAGTGTTTTCAAGGCTGTCAGTGCGTCTGTTGCAGTGCAGCTCCTTCCCACTGGTGCAGCAGTGCATCCCCAGCCCAGGTGTGCAGCCCAGGGTGCTTGGCACGAGGAGCTTCTGCTCTGGGTACAGCTGTAGTGCTGGGGCTTTGGACATCCTGAGCCTTCCTTGCCCCCCTCCTGCAGGTGGTTTGGATGGAGGTCACAGGATGTTCCCCTCTTTGGCTGGGGGCGTGGGAAGAGGATGAGGGTGTGGGCATGGAGTGAGAGGTGTGTTGGGAGCGCGTTGCCAGCTGGGCGCCCACCGGGAGCGCAGGGCCTCCAACGGCATCGTTGGTTTTCCCCTCTTCACCAGACATTTCCTTTCAGATTGGATCCCAGTTTCAGCCACACTTCCCGCTCAGCCCTGTCATCTTGTTGCTAACAATTAGGGTCAAGTGTCTTTCCTTGGGCTCTGCGCCGTCTTCGCGTTGGTCCCTCCCCCAGCTCCCAGCCCGAGCTGTTTGTTCGTTAATTAGTGCATCGGGCGTATTAACACATCAGCGAACGGGAGCAGGCAGACTTCCCGAGGCATCTCGGGAAACCCTCTCCAGTTTTATGTGACCGGACGTGCACTAGTGCTGATTTAGATAGCGGAGCCGGCGATGCCAAAGTGTTGTTAAGAGAGAGATAAATAGAGAGAGCCCAGCAGTAGGCAGAATGTCATGTCTCTATTAAAAAGATGGTGATAAAGGAAGATAAAATGGTGAGGGGGATTGGCGGTGTGTTCAGAGCAGCAGCTCAACAGCTGGTCACAAAAATCAATTCAGAATTCCCCTTCCTGCAAAACCCTTGTCCACAGAATTGATGGCTGAGCACGGCTGGGATGACAGCGAGTGTTGGAGCCCTGAATGAGCCTCGCAATCCTTCCAAAGGCATCGGGGCTTCTGGGGCTCCATTGCAGCATTGCTCCCCTCTGTGGGGTGTGCCTGCCTGGAGGTGACTCAATGCGGATTTTTGTATGTCGGGGACTTGCTCTGGGTGCAGAAGTGAGAAATGTGACTGAACGTAAAGAAATGAGTGGTTGCAGCAGGAGAGAGGGGAGCGGTATTAATTTTACCGGTTTTGTAATGAAACATGCGGTGTGATGTTAAATCATTGCTGCCTTGTTTGCTGAAGGGATGTTCATCATTCCATTAAGAAGGGTTAAGTAATAAAGTGATGTTTCTTTAGGAACCAGTGTCAGTTTCAGGAGGCATCTTCCCCATGCCGCGTGGTGGATGCGAGGTTTCCCTTGGTGCCAGCCGTGAGCTCGGGGCTGGGCACAGGCAGGGAGCTGCACCAGCTCCAGTGCTGCAGGAGTGAGTTTCCCTGCAGCTCAGGCATGCTGCTCTGATGGCCTTTCAGTTACAAGGTTGTCTGCTGTGACTGCTGTCAGCTAGGTCTGGTGCAAACCTTATTCCGTGAGCCGTCTATTTGGGACTGCAAAGTTAAAACCTTCCTGAGGTATTCACCCGCATTGCTTTTTCCCTTTTTCATTAATAACAGCTCTCATGTTGTAATAGTACGCTTGCTGACAGTGAGTCACGAACTCTATCTCCCATGAACCTCATGACAGATTTGTGTTGGCCGCTCAGGCACGGCTCAGCCGGCCCAGTTCCCACCTCCCATCCTTGCACTGGGAAGAAAAGCCCATGGGAACAGGTGGTGCGAGTCCTGCCTCTGTCTTCCCAAATCTGTGCCAATGCACTGAGGAGCAGCCCTTGGGCTGGGCTGGGTTTGGGGACAGCGAGGCCGGATCTGGTGAGGAGTGGTCCCTCAGGGGCAGGATGGGACCCCAGGTCCTGGTGCTGGCTGTAGCTCAGTGAGGTCAGAAGTGTGGGGAGGGAGGGTGTGCGTGTGTGTGGTGGCTGCAGGAGTGCAGTGACCGTGTGGTGTTGGGATGCTCGGGTTGATGCTGGGGAAGCAACTGTGCTATGTGCTGCATCCTGTGTGACCTGCTGCTCTTCCGCTGCTCAGCCTGCTTCTTTGCCTTGACTGAGAATGCAGAACTCAGCACTAGCTTTGCCAGATCTCTGCCCTTCCTCATGGGATAGCCCCTGTTTCTAATACTGTGGTTAGTGATACTGGAACTCAACCCAAAGTGGCATTGCTATGAGCAGTAGGAGTTTTGCCTGGCAAAGGGCAGCACGTATCGTGTTAGTGTCGATACCTCCTGCTTTCATCAC